ACAGCACTATCCAGTGCCAGTTTTGTCTATTGGAGTTTAAAACGCGTGCGCAGATGCTGCAGTACGTGCACGTATCGTTGATGGGGGATCCACCAAAAACCCACTTGCTGAACAGAGCGGATAACAGACCGCCCTCCACAGCTGAAGCCCAGTGCAGCAACGTGTGTTGAGGAGGCAACTGACAGTCCACTTGCCAACTGGATACCGCAGACAGGCCACGTTTTTCACCATCCAAGGACCTAGAACGCGGCGTAGTTGCTGAGAAACAGGAACGGGTACAACGTCTCCATACAAAACGCTAAAGCCCACAGATGACCTTGCAGATGAATCTATCCAGTCGCAGATCGCATCTAAAATTGCCCACCTAGTGACGCGATGCGCACGTAGCTGATATGCGACGAGGAAACGTAGTAGTTCGCGCTCATATACAGTCACGCACGCGCTGTTCCGAAGGCCACCTGCACAACAGCGGATCCGCTAGACTTGCGTTTGGCCGCTAGCATATCAGCAGCCTCGTGCGAAGCAAACCGAAAGTACACACACACATACACACAGCACCCAATACAGACGCTCCGGTTTGCATTCTTAAATAGAAAGCAGCTTAATAGGTTCAGAAAGCTCGCCAGCCGGCACCAGCTTGGGGCTGGGTGCGAGGCTGTTGCTGTGATCCTGGCCCACGCCCTCGGCGAGGGGTCGGGGATCAGTTCTATTATTCGGGGTTTTCTTTGGAACGATATGCGAACTCGAATATATATTGAGTTGTTAACTGTGTTTATAGTGGTTTCAGCGAGAATCATAGGCTAGGAGCCCGATAATAGCGTAGGCACCTATTCTGTCTAACCTAGGGGTCTATCGTAGTAATAGTGCAGGCAGCTGCACTACAATCACCACGCCACAAGCTGCTTGTGGGCCACGGCGCTTCCCAGCTCACTTTCTTTTACCCACTGGTGGCAGTTCTTGAAGTCGTGGTTCCCCAGTTCCATATCACCTTCTTGCGACTGCAATATCAAATTATTTGACCTTGGTTTTTTAAACGAAGAAGTAGATGCACCCTTCAGTACTTCCTGTGGGCTTCCCCGGACGAGATTTGCCGGCTGCCCATTGTTTTCACTTCTATTATCTTCCTGGAAGCGGCAAGTTGATGGTTGCATTTTTACTACCCCAGCATAGGCCCTGTACCTTGCTCGTCCCCAGATTCGCTTCCTTCTATCTCTGGAAGGTAGAGACAAGTGGCAATTCTTCTTTTTGGTGCGCAAGTCCTTCATCTTGAACCCTCCACCGCTTAGGTCATGTTCCGCAGCCCATCCGTTTACCGATTGCCTCTCGCCGGGGGTAAGCCTTGCAGTACAGCATTGATATACGAATTCCGTTCCAGATTCCGTCGTTTTCAAGTTTTCTCAGTTCTGCCATAGCCTGTTCCCTTGCCGTGGGAGTAGGCGTTTATCGCAACGCATCTCGGGGGGCTCTATAATTCCGGAAGTGCTCCGGAAAATGCACTACCACTATTCTCGTGCTTCCCTTTATAATAACAAAAATGCCAGAACCAACTGTAGCTCTTCGTGTGCATTTTGGAGATGGATATACCGCCCCAGACAGGCAAGGAATCCCTCCAGCGCTCCCGCAACACGGAGCCCGCCATATGTATTCGGCTTGCACGGCGGGATCTCCGCAAATTATTCTTGGTACAAAGACCACATCCGCTTTGTGGGGCACAGAAAATGGGCTGGCAACAACGCGACGAGTTCCCCAACCGCTGGTCGCTTCCTGCAGTGCGCAGGCACTACAATGGAGCTTTGGCGTGGCCTCTAGAGGCCTAATATCATGAAAAGGTATGGTTACTGTAGAATGTTTCACGATTAGGACATTCTTAAATAGAAAGCAGCTTAATAGGATCAGAAAGCTCGCCAGCCGGCACCAGCTTAGGGCTGGGTGCGAGGCTGTTGCTGTGGCCCTGGCCCACGCCCTCGGCGAGGGGTCGGGGATCAATTCTATTATTCTGGGTTTTCTTTTGAAGAATAATAGGAACTCGATCAAATATTTGGTTGTTAACAGTGTTTATTAGTGGTTTCAGCGAGAATCATAGGATTAAGAGCGCGATAATACCGTGTGCACCTACTCTGCTAACCTAGGGATCTATAGTCGTAATAGTGCAGGCCAGCTTGTACTACACTTCCCCCCTGAGGGCAAATCCTGACCAACCTCCATGATGCTAGACTAGAACAGGGCTGAGATATTGAGAAACGATTTTTGAGAGTATCTAAAAGATTTTGCGGGATCAGTTCTCCCCGCAAATCACCTCAGCAAATGAATGCTGTGCATCATCCCGTCCTGCTGTGCAGGCTGGTGTTGGTTTCTCGCACTTGGCCAGATGGAACATGCGGCGCTACACAGTGTAACGACGATCCTCGATCTTCCCCCAGGACCGTGGTGAGCACCAATCGAGTCAAAATGCGTAGCGTAAAAGTTACCTAAAACAAGCTGACATCACCTCAAGTGTCCAGGCGTCCTCCTGGGAATGGGGAGGGGAGGAAGCAGCCTGGGCTGGGATGCAACGCCCCTCGCTGCTGCCAGGTATTACCGCCTGAAGGCACAGCCCATCCTTTTTTTGCAAGCAATAACGATGGAGCGTTTGCTAAACACTTACTTGGCGCTTAGCAGGCAGCTTGCACGAACGAACGGGGCAATGGAGTGACGTCAAATAGTCTTGAGACCAGCCTGGAAGGCCTATAGTAAAGAAGAGACAGCGAAATAGGCCGACTCTGGGAAATTGGGCGATATAGCTGACTCGGCAATAGGGAACAAATATTATCTAGTTTTTTGCGCCTACAGCAAGACGGAGATACGGCAAACCAAGATTGGCCTTGCGGAGCAGAACAAATCCACTAACACATGTAGTTCTGCCATAGAAACTGCTTAAGTATGCATATGAATAAGGTACATAATATAGGGATTTTATGGGCAGAAGAAGTGTCACTGCATGTATCACGTGCGCGTGTGGTGTCGCAATCGGCGATGCACACCAGTCTGTACCATAGTGGCACTAAGATCATCCCCGTTTAATATTCTGAGGAAAGTAGACTCATTTTTAATCATTAATTCATTTAAAAAAAACGACAATCCTGGATTCCCAGTACCGGCCTCATTTCGAGCCTTTCTGTGTATCCTGCCGCAACGACAGCACCAGACCTGGGGCCGAAACTGGTCCCATTCCTGTTGCTCACAAACCCGACAAGCGCTGTTCAATCACCTCTCTCTAACGGGAGCTATTTCCTTCCTATGCGGATTATAACGCAGCATAACCAGTCAGATATCAGCAAGTAAGACTCGCTGTGCTACGGGTGCAGCGGAAACCGTGTGCTGTTGTTGGGCCAGAGTCTTGTCACAGCGTAGAGAAGAAGTACATTCATTCTACGGAACTTAAGGCCCTCATGCTCTTAATTTCGAGGGCTGCACCTAGCTCCTAAGCATGGCCGTAGTTGCTGTGTGCAGCAATTAGGGAAGAGTCCAGGAAGAACTGGCCGAAGGCATTTCTTTGAGGAGGGGATGATGAAACAACCTACACCTGCGTCAGCCTTCCATACACCAGGAGAGGCAGAAGACCCAGGTAGCCCTGTTGGAGCACCTTTCGAGGACTATCTTCGGTTGAGGCCGGTGGGCAAATTGCGACGGACACGACATCACCGTCGGCTCGTGACTGTGGCGCTGATATCCATTGTCTCGCTGATGGCAGTTGCCTCCTGGATAGCCCTTTGCTACACCCATCGTAACAGGACAAATACAGCAGGGCTGGTGAAGCGCAGTCTCTCTGACCTTGGGGATCAGGAAGAGTTATCAGAAATTCTGGAACAATGTGTGGAACTAGAAGCAGAACTTGGCATTTCCGGCACGGCTCTCTCTACCAGTGGGGAAGGTGTGAACGTCTCCGCAATTTATGAGTCAGCAGCAAAATTTGAAGAAGCGAGAGGTATGCAGCACCAAATGGTCAAAGGGGATGCAAGTTGGCTCCTACACGGTTTCGGAAGCTTCGCAGAGAGTCTCTCACAGGCAACATATTTGAGTGGAATTGATCAGCACATGGCTGAGGGGAGTTTGAGAGGGCGCCGTTGGAATCATTCCTACGGAGGAGCTGTTTCTTCCGCTGGGATGCAAAATGCACCCTACAGTGCTACTGGGGAGTTTCCGTCGGTCTTCCCCCCCTTGACACAAGAGCAGGGTGCTGTTACTGGTGCTACGTTGCCCCACCTTCCTATAGATGGTACAACCTACATGCCTTTTGATGCATTGCATCCTACTGCGTGGTTGGATATGATCCCAGGGCATGTACCACTCACTGAGGAGCACCAGCAGTTACAAGCAAGCCCCATGGGAGTGCCATTGCCATATGGGGACGGATCTGCTTCTCAAGCGCATATGCAGGATTTCTCGGCACTAGGAGCAGCCAGTAATTTGTTGGGAATCTCGCCGGAAGCCAGTGTGAGTCAGGGCTACCTCGCTGGGAGCCCGGTAGGAGGAACTAATGCGCCATGCACTTTGCATGCAGTTCAGGAAAAACCCAGTCAGGTGTCCCGAAGCGTCGATGGCGAACAGGCAAATACCATACCACACAGCCATAAACCTCTTCTGCCTGCAACCATGCATTGGCAAGCAAATACAGAAATACTGCAGCAGGCCGACCTGAGAGGATCGGTCGTTCTATTGCAAACTGCACCGCATCAGCCAGCCGGCGCTGATTCAATGTTTGAAGCTCGTGCAAGCGGAGAGCAGGATGGATTTCTGCGTGGAGGCGCAGAGGCGGAAGGGACTTTCGGGTTCGTTTCAGCCACAACCCAACAAGAAAGCAAGCGAGAAGGGGAACAGCCAGCACAAAGGGTCCAAGTTTTAGAGGATTCTCAAGAGCCGTCAAGCTCTGCCGGGGCCGTTGCTCCCACGAGCGCTTTATGCAATAAGGCAGAGGAGATTGGCCAGCTCACCCACCCATATGTTAGGCTACCTTTGGTAAACCCAAAAGATATTCCAAGGCCCTTCAGGACGGAGATTGCATTCTCCACCACTGTGTTTGAAAGATCCTCTTTACAAGTATTTGTGCGGATGCGTAAGTTGCTTTCAAAGAATTCACTGAGTACTTGGGAGGTGGAGGCGCTCCTTCGTCAGTGCGAATATTTAGTCAACCACGCTCTCCACAAGCTGACGGCTCCTCCTCCGAAGCCGGGGGCTTTCTTTGTCGCTAGGCGACTGGGAATACTATTTTTCACGTTTGACTACGTGGTTTGCACGATCATGCTCTTGCAAGAAAAAATGGAAACCAGAAAATGGTGGGATATGTTTGTCTCCAAATTTAGTACAGAATATCATTTTCCCGACAGCTATGTGGGGAAGAGGGATCTTGATAGGAAGCTTCCTGATTTAGTCAACCGTCTTAGTCAGGCACTGTCTGTGTACAAGCAAGCTTTGCGTCCGCCTGCAGATGACGTAATCGCTCTTAAGAAGGACGTTCTCCGCCTTTTACGTAACTATGGCTATTTTCAACATCAGCTGTGGGGTCTTTGGAGGAAGGACGACGCCCGATTTCGTTGTCGTGGTGCAGAGACTAGTAAATCAGAATGACACATCTGATGGGAGAACAATCGTATTCGACGAAGGCGCTCTCATGATCTTATTCTCAACTGTTGGTTTACTTTTTCTGCCACCATTTTGGCCTTCAACAGATGCTCTCCTGAGCTTTACCCAAGTTGTTGTACAGAATTAGTAATGGGAGGTCGTCAGAAGGGCAGCTTTCCTGAGACAGTGGTTTTGCAGAGCGCACGGAATGCCCTCATTTTCCCACGCTGGCTTACTTTAGAAGACTCGCTTCCGAAGTTCTTCGACTTGAGAAACCTCAAATTACTTCCTTCCAAAGAAGGGCTATGAAGGAGATACCTCGTCGAAGAGGGTTTCTCTATACGGATGAAAGCAAATCCGTGGCAGAACTCCTTAGCATGTGTGTCATTCTCGAATGGCCCGACAGAAGCCCCAGAAACAAGAACTGAACTTGAATATTTACCTTTTGTTTGCTTCAAGGAGGAGAGACACTTTGCAACACCACTCTGCCAGCGCAGTGCACTACCAACAAGACGTTCCTGAAGTGATGTTGAAACGGACGCGTCGAGAATATGCGAATTGTGCGCGTCAGTGCCTTCTTCATGCGCCGCATGCCAATTTCAAAATAATATTTACCATCAGTGCTCTGTGCATGTGCGCGTATGCTGGCGATACGCTATACTGGTTTGGATAACCGGTATTTGCTTGGGCAGATCAGTCCAGCTGTTCACTTTCTGGAGTTCGGACCAACCGTGGTTAGTGAGTACCTACAGCCGTAGCAGCACGGGGACTCTTACGTGTATCGGCACTACCTACAATAGGAAAGACAGAAGCTAAAATGGCTGAATAGGACAGTATTCAAGCTGAGAGCTGAGGCATTCCATCCTAAAAGCACAGATAGTCATTCAATGGCGGCATTTATTCATGCATAGTTAGGGGCGTACACAGGGAAGCAACATATTGCGTTAAGGGACATTGTCGGGATAACTTCAGCTGGACAACGCCACATGGGCCTCTTCAACTGTCATGGCAAGCTCTTTGCTCACAAATGCCGAGGTGAACAGGAACCAGCTCCTTTAAGAGTTTGCACTCCCCGGAATGCATCCAACTATGTATAGCTCATGCCCGCCTCACGAGCGGCAGCCTCCTCCTTTGAATATCACCATGTGAACTGCTTTCTGTTTGGCAGAGCCTCATTCGTCTGCATATGCCTCTACGATGGTCCGGTACAACGGTGCCAGTGGGAACGCTTGGGCGATTCTTGCAAAGCATCGAAACACAGGAGTTGCCACACTGGAGTGGCGACGCATTGTAGGCAACTTTACGTCCCTCAGCTCAGAAGGCTGCGCGCAAACTCCACGGTTTGGCATTGTTTCCGTGCCGTTGAATGTGAAGAAAAAGCGCTCCTTCACTGTCTACAAAAAAGCAATCTATTCATGTCGACTGACAGACACTGCGTACTGCGGAGCTACGATGCAATGAAAGCTCGCTATTTCGAGGTAAAAAGCCAGCGCTGCTACCGCTCTCTTTACTGACGCACGATTGCTCACGCAACTCAAGCATCAGTCCCTTATCATATTTAGCTATTATCAAATCTGCTGTTGAACGAAGATGCTCCTTGCAATCGCCTGCCCAACCTCCTGTGGCTGCGTGGCAACTCGATAACTCCACTTTCTCCCCAGCTTCACCAACCCACGCCGCAACAACTATTGTTGGAAAAAAGAACGTAGTAGAGGACACCAGCTGAGTATCTGCGCTACTGAGTCTCTGTCACGGACGGCTGCTGCCAGTGCCAGAGAGTACGCTGGATGCCCCGAAAGCAACAACACGTTTGCGAGATACCGAGCTATCTCGGCTGCAGCCTGCTGCTCCCTGTTTCCGTTAGTGCACAGCGGGGGTACTAGATATGCAGTACATATCCTTGAGTGCTTAAAAGCTGTTTTCAGCACTTCTGCACCAGTGTCAGCCACCTGTGCCTCGTCTTTCCAAGTAGGAGACTGTCGTTTGCATTTCCTTTCCAGCAGTAATCGAGAGCATTCGTGCAAGAACGGGCTTTTCAGGCGTAAGGACACACACGTATCGCCAATGCGAAGCTGTTGTGCAAAAGAGAAGACTGCCTCAGAGAAGAGACGAGCTGCAGTTGGTGTCGCCCCCACTGTTGCAAGCACAGATGCGGGCCCTGCTCTTTCCGGTTGTGCCTTTGCTGTCAGGGAGAATGTCAACCCGTCTGTCCCAGAGATATGTTTCAGGCTCCCTCGTTTAGGTGGTTGGTCAAGTTGCTCCAACAAGTCGCCGTTGCTGTGGACCCTCAGCCAAGCCGGAAGATCAAGACCTAAAGTCGTCGCAAAGTCGAACAGTCGTAGCCACTTCTGCTGTTGTAGTAATCCACAAGCAGCCGCAGCAACAGCCATCTCGACTTCCTGATACACCCGTGCAGCTAGTAGACGGTCCACACGCGGTAGCTCCAACGGGACGCGGGACAACCAGGGGTTGGTGTGGAAGCTACCAGCAGCGCCAGCTTGCCCTGTGCTGCCGGCTACTGGGAAATCTAAAAACCCTTCTGCCTGTAGTGGACGCCACAGCAAAGAGCG